GATCAAGCATTTTTGTTTCAATAAATCATACACTGAACTTCGAGTCGAACCACAGGCTCGATCTAAAACAGAAGCATCCAGAGGAAAGGTGGCCCAAGAGATGTACAGAGAACTTCAGAATGCCAGGCAGGAAGCTCTGCAGAAAAAGAAGGCCGACCAGAGAAAGAAGTTGGAAGAGGCTGAGATGAAGCTTAGTGCAGAGGCCCTTAGCAAGAGAGAAGCTAAAGAGCGTGCTCGTCAAATGAAGAAGGCTATGCCGAAAATGAAGATGACTAAGGCTCATTAGGTCCTGCTAAGATTCACAGCATCATCTGCACCTTGCTCTTTTTTTGTTTTACATTCACTTCTCTTTCACAGTTAATGGAGAAAATATTAATTTGTATCGCTGCAGTTGCGTACCGAGCGAGTGTGATCTTATTAGTCGTCTCTCGAAGTTATTGTTTCCAAATGTAGCACTATTCCTAGAAGGAAGAAACGGGTAGCATTCTTTTATGGGGATTGGCTTTTGGGTTTTGGCGCATGTTTGCTTGTTTGTAGTTGGAATAGAACAATTGAAGTGGTCAATGTTATGTCGGAGTCTAGGAACTAGAAGTCAAGACTCTACATAAACCTCGTATCAAATTTTGCTGGGTCCTGTTTATTTTTGTCAGTCGTTACACTTGAAGTCTGGGAAAGTAGTTGATGAGTAGTTAGTTTTGCTAGACTGTTATTTCACTTTTAGTTAGTGTTTGAAATGTGGAAGTTGTAATTTTGGGCCTCCTACCATTGTTTAGACAATGAAATGTAGTCTTGTATCATTGTCATAATAAATGAGTAAAAGATGTACATGCTTGAGAATTTTTATCTAGTGATTGTGAACTAGATTGGGCAGTTATTCTGAACTCTTTTATTGATGGTGTCATAATCTTCAAATGGGTTTTCCTTACTACTCCTATATGGAGTTTATCAACAAATCTACATATGATGAGTTCATGTAATCCAACGGTGATCAAAACTGATGTCGACGAGATTGCATTAGCATATCTCGACAAATATGATCGACTTATGCCTTTATTATTATTATTATTATTATTATTATTATTATTATTATTATTATTATTATTATTATTATTATTATTATTATTATTATTATTATTATTTATATTGTGTTTGAGCTTTTATTATGTTGTAGTGAACTTATTATGTTTGGGCTTTTAATTAATAGTGGGTAGGACTTGATGTATTATTAAAAACAAATGTTTTATCTGTGTATCGTATTTCAGATTAAAGCAGAAAAGAAACAATGTATTGTGTTCTTCGTTTCCTCTTTATAATCTTCTCATCTCATGCTTCTGCTACATCATTTGGTATCAGTTAACCGAGACGATTCTTGATGCCGCCGAAACGACGAGATGCCGAAATTGACGATCGACTTCAAGGTATGGATGATCGAATGCAATTGTTGGATGCTCGGGTTACGGACCTTTCTTCCGGAATTGAAGATATTCGTCTCACACTGACTACCATGGTCCGGCAACAACAAGAGAATTGTTATTTCGTCGGTGGCAGAGGTGGTCGCGGACGTGGGTTTGGTGGGGCGCCCCGTCAACCGTTCCAACCGCCTTTGTTCGAAGAAGTCGATAGTGAAGATACCTTATCGGACGACAACCTGTTTGCAGATGACGTTGACAACGACCATGGAAAACAGGGTTTCGCGACCCCGATGTGGTTGCTTACCATCGAGCCACAGATGGGTTTCAACCCCATGGAAATCCCGTAAATAGGTTTCAGCCCCATGGAAATTCCGTCAATTGGCGAGCGGATCACAGGCGCGAGTTCCTCGGTCGTGATTTTTCACAATTTCCAGATCGTGATTTCCGCCGAGGCGCTGTGACGACGATCGCAGTTCTTGTCTATTCGGTTGTGAGTAATCGCGCACTCAGGGCCTTCGACTACACACGAAAGGTGTGACTAACAACCTCATATCCGTATCACGCTGCCGGCGTTGCAGACGATCGTCGATGGCAGCGGGCTGGTCGGCATTTGGAGCTACCAATTTCGTGGAAGATCGGGCTGCCGCTGGTTTATACGACGATGCTGATTTTGGTGCCGGTTGTGGCAATTTTTGCCCTTCTGAGCGTGAATTTGGTACCCATAGGAATACTTTTGATATTGGCAGACACATAGTTTAAAATGGTGACGCCATGGCGACGCCTCGAGGCGAGGCGACCGAGGCGAGGGTCACATCGCCTCGCCCCTGCCTGAGGCGACCCTGTTCGCGAGGCGCTCGTTTCAGGACGCCTCGGCTCGCCTTTTCGTATGGTGAGAGGCGACTGTGTGGCGCACCTCGTCGCCTTTCAGGGGAATTAAAGGCGCAGGCCACCCCTTATTTGTTTATAAAAAAAATAAAATTATAAATGCGTGTTAACACTTTTTGGAAAAGAGAATAAAAAAAGCACACGTGCTCTTTTTTCCTTCATCTCTCAGACCCACGAAGCTAGGGTTTTACCGGACGGAGGACATAAGCAAACACTTCACCTTAAAAAACCTTCAATTACTTTCTTAAGTGATATTTGTGTTTCAATTACTTGCCTTTATGGGAGATTTGATGTTATTTTTATCATTTATACACAACTATATAATTGAACAATCTACAATATTGTTTTTCTAAATTTTGGTGATATGTGTAGCCGAGGCCTCACCATGGCGAATCGCCTCGCCTCGTGGCGAGGCCATGGGCCTATCGCCTCGCCTCGCCATTCGCCATTTGAAACTATGGGCAGACAACTTGAGCGTGACTTTGATGGTGATAGGGGACTCTACATCCCACATGGCTTGGGGCATGTTGAATTAATGTTTGAAGGTCACTGAGAGGCTTCTTTTAAAATTGATATTCCAGAATTTTCGGGCGGATTAGATGCTAGTGATTTTTTGGATTGGTTGGTTGTTGTTGAAGCTGCACTTGATTTTAAATGTGTACCTGATGATAGGCGTGTTCCACTTGTGGTAACTCACCTTCGTGGCCGTGCGGCTGCTTGGTGGTTACAATTATAGGGTAGGCGACATCGTCAGGGCAAGCAAAAAATAAATTCGTGGGTGAAATTTTGTAAGTATCTCGAACGTGAGTCTTTACCGTTCAATTATGTTCGTACACTTTATCAGAAATTGCAGAACCTTCAACAAGGTTCACGTAGTGTTGATGAGTATACTGAAGAATTTTATAAACTCTTGGTCCGGGTAGATATACGTGAGACTCCGGATCAATTAGTTTCTCGATATATTGGTGGGTTACATGTTTCTCTCCAGGATGTGTTGAATATGTTTACTCCGACTTCCGTTTCTGAGGCACATCAGCGTGCATTATTGGTTGAGCAACAGCAGGCCCTAAATTTGGGCGTTTCTTTTACAACGTCTACAAAGGAGCCTCCATGTACTTCGGGTACCGTGCCGTCTGCGAGTGTTTAGCTCGATGTGGGTGCTCCTTCTGAGGGTCGTGTGATTGGCCCCACGACGGGGGGTGGCCCTTGACAATCTGGTAGGCCGCGTTGCTTCACATGTGGTGAGCCGGGTCATCGTCAGGCACAGTGCCCGAAGGCGAGAGGGTCGCGGGCATTGATTGTTGAGGAGCCAGACTCGACTGTTTACGATGGTCCTCCATTTTTCAATAAAGAGCCGGAGGTTCCAGAGGTGCATGTCTCGGGAGACGTGGGTCACGCGCTTGTCCTTCGTTGGTCTCTTTTGTCTCCCCATATCTCTTCCGAGGATAAGGTCCAACGGCACCACCTTTTTGAATCCACATGCACCATTGGCGACTGGGTGTGCCGTTTTGTCATTGATTCTGGCTCTTGTGAGAATGTGATTTCCACCGAGACAGTGACGAAATTGGGGTTGTTAAGTGAGCCACATCCGGATCCGTATGCTCTTGCGTGGATACACCATGATGATTCTGATCGTGCCACCCGATGCGTGTTGGTTACCTTTTCTATCGGCTCCTCTTATAAGGATATGACATGGTGTGACGTCGTGCCTATGGATTCTTGGCACGTTTTATTAGGACGACCTTGGCAATTTGATTGCTCGGTGTTACATAATGGACGCCTCAACACATATGGTTTTTTATTTGAGGGCCTCCGCAAAGTCTTGCATCCGTCGTCATCCAGTTCTGGCCCTTTGCCATCGTCGTCTTCGGCTTTATTCGTTTCTCGCGCCTACACTGGTAGGGAATTATCCGGCTCAGTGGACGATCGCTCGATAGTTTTTGACGTAGGTGATTTTTCGAACGTGTTGCTCAGGACGCCGACGAGACTGCAGATTCGAGGGCGAATCCTCTCCACCCCGGGGAGAATGATGCCGACGAGATTGCATTAGCATATCCCGACAAATATGATCGACTTATGCCTTTAGTATGATGATTATGATTATTATTATTATTATTATTATTATTATTATTATTATTATTATTATTATTTAGTTTATGTTTATTTATATTGTGTTTGGACTTTTATTATATTGTAGTGAACTTATTACGTTTGGGCTTTTAATTAATAGTGGGTAGGACTTGATGTATTATTTAAAACACATATGTTTTATCTGTGTATGACAATTATCGTATTATTTAAAACACATATGTTTTAGAGGAAATTACTTGGGGCACGAGTCGACAAGTAATTATTTGCAATTTCACACTTCCACAATAAAATTTAGCAAGATTACGAAATCCTCTAATTTATATTGCAATTTGACCGAACATTAAGTTAAGGAGTAATAATATATTTTATTCAATTAACACAGAT